GTAATAAAATAATAAATAATAAAGTAACAAATAAATAAAAATAAAGTATTTTGATATTTAATTTACCATTTCATTTAAGGTATATATATATATATACAGAGAGAGAGAGAGGCATATATTAAAAAATATTTAAAATGCATTAAATTAAAATGCATTAAATTAAATGTCAAATTAAATTTCAATTTACCATTTCATTTAAGGCATTCTGAAATATTTGAGTAATATAGCAAAGTATTATTATTTAATTTATTTTAAATATGTAACTCCTTAATATTGAGGAAACAATGCAAAATAATATTTGTTTCCTTAATAATTAAATAAACCAATATTATTTTGCAATGTTACCTAAATATTAATAATAATTAAATATTTTTAAATTTGACATTTAATTTAATGCATTTTAATATTTGAATAATATATCAAAGTAATAGTATTTATCATTCAGTTTAAATATGAAACTCCTTAATATTTAGGTAACATTGCAAAATAATAATTTCTTACTCGTTTCCCGAACTTATACAAACAGAACTCTTTTTCATTGGGACCTGAAAGGGAACCAAATTGGCTTTCCTGGAACTTGGTGGGTCATGAGCCTCAACGTGATGTTGTTTTGGAAACACTATAAAAATAGACAGTTGTGTTTATGGGATTTGTGTGTGTGTGTGTGTGTTGACATATTCAACAAGGCTGTATTTGATGCTGCAACACATGTGCAGCTTTTTAAGTTTGAGCAAAATCATTCAGAATTGTTGCCCTTTTACACTGCCATATACTTACTTACTTAGGCATTTCCTTGTAGTCCGAGGATGATGGTTCTCCAAGTGTAGTGTCCTGGTGGTGGGTCCATAGGTGACTGTGGAGCCCTATTCTTGATCTGCATCTTCTCCTGCAGCGAGGGCACTTTCCTCCAGCACCACAGCTCAAAAGCATCTCTCTTCCTTCGCTCAGCCTTCCCTAAGGTCCAGCTCTCACATCCGTAGGTTACTACAGGGAATCCCATGGCTTTGACTAGGCGGATCTTTGTTGCCAGTCTGATGTCTCTACTCTTTACTATTTTATCGAGACTGGACATTGCTCTCCTCACAAGAAGGAAGCGTCTTCTGATTTCCTGGCCACAGTCTGCATCTGCAGTAATCTTTGCACCTAGAAATACAAAGTCTGTCACGGCCTCCACATTTTCTCCCTCTATTTGCCAGTTGTCAATCATTCTTGTTGCCATAATCTTGGTTTTTTTGATGTTTAGCTGCAACCCAGCTTTTGCGCTTTCTTCTTTCACCTTGATTAGAAGGCTCCTCAGCTCCTCCTCGCTTTCGGCCATCAGAGTGGTGTCATCTGCATATCTGAGGTTGTTAATGTTTCTTCCAGCAATTTTCACCCCAGCTTTGCATTCATCAAGCCCCGCACATCCTCGCACGATGTGTTCTGCATACAAGTTAAAAAGGTTGGGTGAGAGTATGCAGCCTTGCCGTACGCCTTTCCCAATCTTGAACCAGTCTGTTGTTCCGTGGTCAGTTCTTACTGTTGCTACTTGGTCCTTGTACAGATTCCTCAGGAGAGAGACAAGGTGGCTTTGGATGCCCATCCCACCAAGAACGTGCCACAATTTATTATGATCCACACAGTCAAAGGCTTTAGAGTAGTCAATGAAGCAGAAGTAGATGTTTTTCTGAAACTCCCTGCCTTTCTCCATTATCCAGCGGATATTGGCAATCTGGTCTCTCATTCCTCTGCCTTTTCTAAACCCAGCTTGAACATCTGGCAACTCTCGCTCCATGTATTGCTGGAGTCTTCCTTGCAGGATCTTGAGCATTACCTTACTGGCATGAGAAATAAGGGCCACTGTATGGAAGTTTGAGCAGTCTTTCACATTTCCCTTTTTTGGTATGGGGATATAAGTTGATTTTTTCCAGTCTGATGGCCATTCTTGTGTTTTCCATATTTGCTGGCATATGGCATGCATCACCTTGACAGCATCATCTTTTAAGATTTTAAACAGTTCCGCTGGGATCTCGTCGTCTCCTGCTTCCTTGTTGTTGGCAATGCTTCTTAAGGCCCATTCAACCTCACTCCTCAGGATGTCTGGTTCTAATTCACTCACCACACTGTCAAAACTATCCTCGATATTATTATCCTTCCTATACAGATCTTCTGTATAGTCTCACCACCTTCTCTTGATCTCTTCAGCTTCTGTTAGGTCCTTGCCATCTTTGTTTCTTATCGTACCAATTTTTGCCTGAAATTTATCTCCAATGTTTCTAATTTTCTGGAAGAGGTCTCTTATATACAAATCATATAAATCACATAAACAAAAAATAATAGTGACATAAACAATCTTAGTTTTTCTCTTGCACATGCGGCCTGCTCATTGTTATGTTATTTTAGTTTACTGTGTATGATTTTGCTTTATCGTCTTTGTACTCATATGTTGTATGTATTTTACTGTGTTGTTATTGTGTTTTGGTTTTACTTTATGGTAATATGCTGTTGAGCTTGTTGATCGAAAGTCACAGGTTCGATTCCGGGGAGCGGCGTGAGCTTCCGCTGTCAGCCCTAGCTTCTGCCAACCTAGCAGTTCGAAAACATGCAAATGTGAGTAGATCAATAGGTACCGCTCCGGCGGGAAGGTAACGGCGCTCCATGCAGTCCTGCCGGCCACATGACCTTGGAGGTGTCTACGGACAACGCTGGCTCTTCGGCTTAGAAATGGAGATGAGCACCACACCCCAGAGTCAGACATGACTGGACTTAATGTCAGGGGACTACCTTTACCTTAATATGCTGTTGGGCTTGGCCTCATGTAAGCCGCCCTGAGTCCCCATTGGGGAGATGGTGGCGGGGTATTAAATAAATAAAGGGAAAATCTTTAACAAAAGGTTGCGAAACTTTAGTCCTGTGTCTGATCTATTTAAGAAATCCAGAAAGGGCTTCTTTGGCCTCTCACATTACTGACGAATTAGAAGCAGCTTCTGCCCTTGGAAAACTGTAGATTTCATATTGTCTCCGAAACAGGTGCAGACTCATTATGGTTGTAATTATTATTTTGGCTGGGAATAGAACCGAAACAAGGCTGCCCTTATCAGTTCACCGAGACTTATCGTCCACGGAGGTGAGCACCAAGTGCCAAGGTCATTTGCACAGCGGCCTCTCGGCTTCTGCAAATGATTGCCCACAGCTGTCTTTCTCCATTTCTCTTCCATTTCGTTGCATCGTAAATCCCCTGGTTTATCGGATCTTTTGCCGAGGCACAATCTATATAAATAAAAATGTAATGTTCGTTTGTGGGATTAACAGAACTCAAAAACCACTGGACGAATTGACGCCAGATTTGGACACAAGACACCTCTCAGGCCAACGAGTGACCATCACTCATAAAAACACTGAAAAACACAGTAGAAGGGACTTAAAAAAGCAAAAACTATACATTTCAATGCACACACAAAACCACATATATATGCACAAACAACATATATACACACACAAAACATACACAGAAAAGAGGAAGGAAGGAAGGAAGAGAAGGAGGGAGAGAAGGAAGTGAAGAAGGGTAGAGAAGGAAGGAGGGAGAGAAGAAGGAGAGAAAGAAGGAAAGAAAGAAAGGTAGAGAGGAAGGAGGGAGAGAAGAAGGAGGGAAGGAAGGAAAAAAGGATAGAGAAGGAAGGAAAAAGAGAAGGAGGGAGAGAAAGGGAAGGACAGAAGGAAAGAAAGAAGGGTAGAGAAGGAAGGAAGGAGGGAAAGAAGGAGGGAAGGAAAGAAAGAAGGAAAGAAAGAAGGGTAGAGAAGGAAAGGAGAGAAGGAGGGAGAGAAAGGAAGGAGAGAAGGAAGGAGGGAGAGAAGAAGGGAAAGAAGGAGAGAAAGAAGTAGGGAAGGAGAGAAAGAAGGAAAGAAAGGGGTAGAGAAGGAAGGAAGGAGAGAAGGAAGGAAGGAAAAGGGGAGTAAAAGGGAAGGAAAGAGAGAAGGAACGAAAGAAAGAGGGAGGGAAGGAAGGAAGGAAAGAGACAAGGAAGGATGGAACCAAAGAGGAAAGGAAGCAAGAAAAGAAACAGGTAGGGAAGAAAGAAAGAAGAAGGGAAAGAAAAGTGAAGGAGAGAAAGAGGGAGGGAAGGAAGGAAGGAAAGAGACAAGGAAGGATGGAACCAAAGAGCAAAGGAAGCAAGAAAAGAAACAGGTAGAGAAGGAAGAAAGAAGAAGGGAAAGAGGAAAGGAAGGAAAGAGGGAGGGAGGGAGGGAGGGAGGGAAGGAAGGAAGGAAGGAAGGAAGGAAGGAAGGAAGAAGGAGAGAAAGAAAGAAAGAAAGAAAGAAGGAGGGAAGGTTGGCCACAGCAACGCGTGGCGGGTACAGCTAGAAATATAATAATATAATAATAATAATATTTATTTATTGTGTCAGGAGCAACCAGACAGTTGTATTACATTTTTTACAAAACAAACAAACAAAACACAAAGTTTGCAAGCTTGGTAGTTGATTTAATGTCCTTTGACCAGTATCTGACCACTTGGAGTGCCTCTGGTGTTGCCGCAAGGAGGTCCTCCATTGTGCATGTGGCAGGGCTCAGGTTGCATTGCAGCAGGTGGTCTGTGGTTTGCTCTCCTCCACACTCGCATGTCGTGGATTCCACTTTGTGGCCCCATTTCTTAAGATTGGCTCTGCATCTCGTGGTGCCAGAGCGCAGTCCGTTCAGCGCCTTCCAAGTCGCCCAGTCTTCTGTTTGCCCAGGGGGGAGTCTCTCATTTGGTATCAGCCATTGATTGAAGTTCTGCGTTTGAGCCTGCCACTTTTGGACTCTCGCTTGCTGAGGTGTCCCAGCAAGTGTCTCTGTAGACCTGAGAAAACTATTTCTTGACATGCTGGCTGATACTCAAACAGGGGATGAGCTGGAGATGTCACTGCCTTGGTCCTTTCACTATTGGCTGCTATTTCCCGGCGGATGTCAGGTGGTGCAATACCAGCTAAACAGTGTAATTTCTCCATTTTTATTTATATGGCTTGTTCTTCCCCTACAGCTGATGCTGTCCGAATGGCTGATTGACGTCCCGCAGGATTTGGTGCAGGACTGGATCCTGGTGGTGTGCCCCATGGGCAAGCGGGCCCTGATTGTGGCATCGAAGGTAAAGTGGCTGCGGTCTGGGCCTCCTCCTTGCCAGATCCTTATCCGATCCTCCCTTCATCAGCCGGCTTCCTGCAGCTTTCTGAGAATTAGCCACCTTCTCTCGAAAGAGGCAGCCTTTTAACCACAAGCCGTTCCGCCTCCGAGGGTTCGAGAGGCCTTTGCTTTGCAAATTTTTGCCGCGCGGGTTTCGCTTTGACCCACGGGTTGGCGGTTGAGGGATTTTCTAAAAATACTTTCTTAATAACTAGCTTGGCGTTGCCCGGGGTTATTTGGAAAAGTCATTTTTAAAAATTGTACCAAATGCATAAGGTTGTGGGTGAACTACAACTCCCATCACGCCAGCTTAAACCTCCTGAAACTCCCATCAGTACTTAAGATTAGTCGTGGGGGTTCTGTGTACCAAGTTTGGTCCAGGTCCATCACCAGTGGTGGTCACCATTTTTCTGGTTGTGGGTGAACTACAACTCCCATCACGCCAGGTTAACCCCCCTGAAACTCCCATCAGTACTTAAGATTAGTCATGGGGGTTCTGTGTACCAAGTTTGGTCCAGGTCCATCACCAGTGGCGGTCACCATTTTTCTGGTTGTGGGTGAACTACAACTCCCATCACGCCAGGTTAACCCCCCTGAAACTCCCATCAGTACTTAAGATTAGTCATGGGGGTTCTGTGTACCAAGTTTGGTCCAGGTCCATCACCAGTGGTGGTCACCATTTTTCTGGTTGTGGGTGAACTACAACTCCCATCACGCCAGGTTAACCCCCCTGAAACTCCCATCAGTACTTAAGATTAGTCATGGGGGTTCTGTGTACTAAGTTTGGTCCAGTCCCCTCAGCATCACCCCCCACCCCCAAGTAGGTTGGGTTAGTCATGGGGGTTCTGTGTACCAAGTTTGGTCCAGGTCCATCACCAGCGGTGGTCACCATTTTTCTAGTTGTGGGTGAACTACAACTCCCATCACGCCAGCTTAAACCCCCTGAAACTCCCATCAGTACTCAAGATTAGTCATGGGGGTTCTGTGTACCAAGTTTGGTCCAGGTCCATCACCAGTGGCGGTCACCATTTTTCTGGTTGTGGGTGAACTACAACTCCCATCACGCCAGGTTAACCCCCCTGAAACTCCCATCAGTACTTAAGATTAGTCATGGGGGTTCTGTGTACCAAGTTTGGTCCAGGTCCATCACCAGTGGTGGTCACCATTTTTCTGGTTGTGGGTGAACTACTACTCCCATCACGCCAGGTTAACCCCCCTGAAACTCCCATCAGTACTTAAGATTAGTCGTGGGGGTTCTGTGTACTAAGTTTGGTCCAGTCCCCTCAGCATCACCCCCCACCCCCAAGTAGGTTGGGTTAGTAATGGGGGTTCTGTGTACCAAGTTTGGTCCAGGTCCATCACCAGCGGTGGTCACCATTTTTCTAGTTGTGGGTGAACTACAACTCCCATCACGCCAGCTTAAACCCCCTGAAACTCCCATCAGTACTCAAGATTAGTCATGGGGGTTCTGTGTACCAAGTTTGGTCCAGGTCCATCACCAGTGGCGGTCACCATTTTTCTGGTTGTGGGTGAACTACAACTCCCATCACGCCAGGTTAAACCCCCTGAAACTCCCATCAGTACTTAAGATTAGTCATGGGGGTTCTGTGTACCAAGTTTGGTCCAGGTCCATCACCAGTGGTGGTCACCATTTTTCTGGTTGTGGGTGAACTACAACTCCCATCATACCAGGTTAAACCCCCTGAAACTCCCATCAGTTCTTAAGATTAGTCGTGGGGGTTCTGTGTACTAAGTTTGGTCCAGTCCCCTCAGCATCACCCCCACCCCCAAGTACGTTGGGTTAGTCATGGGGGTTCTGTGTGCCAAGTTTGGTTGAGGTCCATCACCAGTGGTGGTCACCGTTTTTCTGGTTGTGGGTGAACTACAACTCCCATCACGCCAGGTTAACCCCCCTGAAACTCCCATCAGTACTTAATATTAGTCATGGGTGTTCTGTGTACCAAGTTTAGTCGAGGTCCATCACTAGTGGTGGTCACCGTTTTTCTGGTTGTAGGTGAACTACAACTGCCATTGTGCCAGGTTAACCTCCCTGAAACTCCATCAGTACTTAAAGTTTGTTATGTTGGGCAAGTTTGCTCTAGATGCATCATCAGTAGTGTTCAGTGTGGCTCTAGGGTAAACTACAATTCCCACTGTGGCAAGTCAGTCCCCTAATCCCCCCCCCTCCCCAAAGTAGGTTGGGTTAGTCATGGGGGCTCTGTGTGCCAAGTTTGATTCAGGTCCATCACCAATGGTGGTCACCATATTTCTTGTTGTGGGTGAACTACAGCTCCCAGGAAAGTAGGTCAGTTTCACGCAAACCCCTCCAGTAACCAAATTTCATCATATTGGATATGTGTGCCAAGTTTGGTCGAGATCCATAGGTGATTGGGTTCACAGTGCTCTCTGGATGCAGGCGAACTACAACTCCCACAAATCAAGGTGCATTTCCCCCAAAGACCTCCAGTATTTTTCACACAGCCTTACATCCCAGAATATCGCACATTTTGTTGTTGTTAAAATCAGAAACAGATTTTAATTAATTAATGTAATTTAATGTTTCAAATGTATGTAATTATTATGTCGAGAAGGTCGGGGTACAAATATCTGAAATAAATAAATGAATAAATATTATGGATGGCTTATAGGATCCTTTGGGATCTGTTTCTCTGCATGGACGCATACTCTCACTTTCCCAATAAACCAGAAATATGTGAGTAGATCGATAGGTACGGCTCCGGTGGGAAGGTAACGGCGCACCATGCAGTCATGCCGGCCACATGACCTTGGAGGTGTCTACGGACAACGCTGTGGTGCCAGAGCGCAGTCTGTTCAGCGCCTTCAAGTCGCCCAGTCTTCTGTGTGCCCAGGGGGGGTCTCTCATTTGGTATCAGCCATTGATTGAGGTTCTGGGTTTGAGCCTGCCACTTTTGGACTCTCTTTGCTGAGGTGTTCCAGCGAGTGTCTCTGTAGATCTTAGAAACCTATTTCTTGATTTAAGTCGTTGACGTGCTGGCTGATACCCAAACGGGATGAGCTGGAGATGTCACTGCCTTGGTCCTTTCACTATTCCCGGCGGATGTCAGGTGGTGCAATACCGGCTAAGCAGTGTAATTTCTCCAGTGGTGTAGGGCGCAGACACCCCTGTGATAATGCGGCATGTCTCATTAAGAGCCACATCCACTGTTTTAGTGTGGTGAGATGTGTTCCACACTGGGCATGCGTACTCAGCAGCAGAGTAACATAGCGCAAGGGCAGATGTCTTCACTGTGTCTGGTTGTGATCCCCAGGTTGTGCCAGTCAGCTTTCGTATGATATTGTTTCTAGCACCCACTTTTTGCTTGATGTTCAGGCAGTGCTTCTTGTAGGTCAGAGCACGGTCCAGAGTGACTCCCAGGTATGTGGTGCGCTGCAATGCTCCAGTGGGATTCCTTCCCAGGTCATCCTCAGAGCTCGGGATGCTTGTCTGTTCTTGAGATGAAAGGCACATGTCTGTGTTTTAGATGGATTAGGGATCAGCTGGTTTTCCCTGTAATAGGCAGTAAGAGCGCCTAGAGCAGTGGTTCTCAACCTTCCTAATGCCATGACCCCTTAATACAGTTCCTCATGTTGTGGTGACTCCCAACCGTAAAATTATTTTGTTCCTACACCATAACTGTATTGCTACTGTTATGAATCGTCATGTAAATACCTGATAGGCAGGATTTATTTTCATTCTCTGGACCTTGGGATTTATAGTTCACCTACAATCAAGAGCATTCTGAACTCCACCAGAGATGGAATTGACCCAAACTTGGCACACAGAATGCCCATGACCAGCAAAAAATAATGAAAGGGTTAAGTGAGCATTGGCCTTGAGCTTGGGAGTTGTAGTTCACCTATCTCCAGAAAGCACTGTGGACTCAAACAATGATAGATCTGGACTAAACTTGGCACGAATACTCAATATGCCCAAATGTGAACACTGTTGTTTGGAGAAAATAGACCTTGACGTTTGGGAGTTGTAGTTGCTGGGATTTATAGTTCACCTACAATCAAAGAGCATTCTGAACTCCACCAGAGATGGAATTGACCCAAACTTGGCACACAGAACGCCCATGACCAGCAAAAAATAATGAAAGGGTTAAGTGAGCATTGGCCTTGAGGTTGGGAGTTGTAGTTCTCAATATGCCCAAACGTGAACACTATTGGAGTTTGGGAAAAATAGACCTTGACGTTTGGGAGTTGTCATTGCTGGGATTTATAGTTCACCTACAATCAAAGAGCATTTTGAACCCTATCAAAGATGGAATGGAACCAAACTTGGCACAAGCACTCCCATGACCAACAGAAAATACTGGATGGGTTTGGTGGGCATTGACCTTGAGTTTTGGAGTTGCACTTTACCTACATCCAGAGAGCACTGTGCAAACAATGATGGATCTGGACCTAACTTGGCATGAATAGTCAATATGCCCATATATGAACACAGATGGAGTTTGGGGGAAATAGACCTTGACATTTAGGAGTTGTCGTTACTGGGATTTATAGAGCATTCTGAACCCCACCAACGATAGAATTGGGCCAGACTTCCCACACAGAACTCCCATGACCAACAGAAAATACTGTGTATCATGATGGTCTTTGGCAACCCCTCTGACCCCCAGGTTGAGAAACACTGACCTAGAGTTTCGGAGAGCTTCTGTTCAACTATCTCAAAGCTCCCTGCTTGAGTGGTGATGGCACGATCATCAGCATAGATGAAGCTCTCCGTCCCTTCTGGCAGTGACTGGTCATTTGTGTAGATGTTGAACATGGATGGGGCAAGCACGCTCCCCTGAGGCAGGCCGTTCTTCTGTTTCCGCCATCCGCTTCTCTGGCCCTGGAACTCAACAAAAAAGCTCCTGTTTTTGTAGCAGGTTTCCTATGAGGTGGGAGTCCTTGGTGATACTATACATTTTTCTCAGGAGGAGGCAGTGGTTATCTGTACCTTATGCAATTTTAATGCAAAATGGTCCCTTTGTAATGCTTCTCTCCTCTTCCAGGGTTCCACTGCCGCTTACACCAAGAGCGGATTCTGTGTCAATCGATTCCCGTCTCTCTTGCCAGGAGGGAACCGCCGCAATTCCGCCACTGGAAAAGGTCTGAATGAAATTGGGGGGAGGGAATAACAAGAGATGTTATTGAGCCAGTTTTAAGCCTGAATTTTCAATTCGTGCCTTGTGTTTCATCTCTGCTCTGTGTATTTTAATGTGTGTTTTATAGAAATATATTTTAATATATATCTTTTTAATAGAAATATGCTTATTTATAGAATTTGTACAATGTTTATGTGTTTATGAGCCACGAGGTGAGGCGGGTAAGAAATAAAATTATTATTACTGTATTATTATTATTGTTATTATTTTGTTGTTGTTATTGTTGTGATGGGTGAAACCAAAAGCAAAGAGGATGCCAAATTTCAGCGTTGTAGAAATACATTTATTTATAGAATTTTGGTGATGGTATTATTATTATTATTCCCTTAGCAGCCAGAATTTGGTGGCATTGTTATTATTATTCCCTTAGCTGCTGTACTTTGATGGCATTATTATTATTATTATTATTATTATTCCCTTAGTAGCTGAACTTTGGTGGCATTGTTATTATTATTCCCTTAGTAGCTGAACTTTGGTGGTATTATTATTACTATTATTCCCTTAGTAGCTGAACTTTGGTGGCATTGTTATTATTCCCTTAGCAGCTGAACGTTGGTGGCATCATCATCATCATCATCATCATCATCATCATCATTATTCCCTTAGTAGCTGAACTTTGGTGTTGTTGTTATTATTATAATTATTCCCTTAGTAGCTGAACTTTGGTGGCATTATTATTATTATTATTATTATTATTATTATTATTATTATTCCTATAGTAGCTGAACTTTGGTGGCATTATTATTATTATTCCCTTAGCAGCTGAACTTTGGTGGCATTATTATTATTATTATTATTATTATTATTATTATTATTATTATTCCCTTAGTAGCTGAACTTTGGTGGCATTATTATTATTATTATTATTATTCCCTTAGTAGCTGAACTTTGGTGGCATTATTATTATTATTATTATTCCCTTAGCAGCTGAACTTTGGTGTTGTTGTTATTATTATAATTATTCCCTTAGTAGCAGAACTTTGTTGTTATTATTATTATTATTATTATTCCCTTAGCAGCGGAACTTTGGTGGCATTATTATTATTATTATTATTGTTGTTGTTGTTGTTGTTGTTTTTCTTACCCACCTCTCCTTGTGACTCGAGGCAGTTTGCAGCATAATCAAAACATGCAAACATTGCAAAAATCCTATAAACACACACATTAAAATGAAGTTGCATCAAAGATATGCATATAGACAGCCCGGAAGCTTCAGCTAGTCCAGCGCGCGGCAGCCATGTTACTAACAGGAGCGGGACGCAGGGAGCATACAACGCCCTTGCTGTTCCAGCTCCACTGGCTGCCGATCTGCTACCGGGCCCAATTAAGGTGCTGGTGTTATCCTACAAAGCCCTAAACGGTTCCAGCCCAAAATACCTTTCGGACCGCATCTCGGCCTATGAGCCCACGAGGACCTTGAGATCGTCTGGGGAGGCCCTTCTCTCGATCCCGCCTGCTTCACAGGCACGTCTGGCGGGGACGAGAGAAAGGGCCTTCTCGGTGGTGGCCCCCCGGCTGTGGAACGACCTCCCTGCTGACATCAGACAGGCGCCTTCCCTTCTGTCCTTCCGTAAGAGCCTGAAGACCTGGCTAGTTGAGAAGGCATTCAACTGAGCGCTACGGCAACTGGTAATTGACAACTGGAACGGAATACGGATTACGATATTGGTTATGATTCTATGATGTGACGGAGCGGATTATTTAGTGTAACTAGATTATAGTGTATTATTGTTGTATTGATTCCCTGTTTTGCCCTTTTTGTAAACTGTTTTTATATGTTGTGCACCGCCGCGAGTCGCCCTAGGGCTGAGAGCGGCGGTCAATAAATGCAGTAAATAAATAAATAAATAAATAAATATTGAACTGGAAAGAAGGCATCGGCAGTTTCTCTCTGAACTATTCTTGCTAAGAATGCCCCACGGCAGGGCATCTGGAGTAGCAACAAACAATGATTTGGGGCTTCTAGATCAGAGCAAACCCTTGAGCATAAGACATGCTTGGGGCCAAATGTGTGGATTAATGCTTTTCCTCTTGGCTGCATTCAGACTATACCATCCTGGACTGCATCTTCAATGAGGCCAAGCAGACATACTACATCCTGGACGTCATGTGTTGGCGAGGGCATCCTGTGTACGACTGCCCGGTGAGGATAATATCCCTCTTCTTCTCCCCACATCCACACATTTGGATGCAGTTTCCCTTCTAATATTGTTCCATAGGCAACGAATCCCTTTGGAAAGCATCTCTGCATGGATACAGGTTAAGCATTCCTTGTCCATGGACAAGATAGCAACACTTTATAATAATACAAATAATAAAAGTTTTATTTATTTATATATTATTATTATTATTATTATTATTATTATTATTATTATTATTATTAAACTTTATTTGTACCCCGCTAGCATCTCCCGAAGGACTCGATACTGCTCTTATCTCCTCGAGGGGGACTCAGGGCGGTTTCCAAGTAACATCACCAAAACGGCATAACATAAAATTAACAAAACAACACAATTATCACAACAACACATAGGCCATATTCAACAATGTTTGGGGCTGAGTCTTTCTCAAAGGTTTGTTGAAGCCACCAAGTCTTCTACGAAAGGAGGAGAGGGATGGGGCCTGTCTTATTTCCCTAGGAAGGGTGTTCCAGAGGCGAGGGGCCACCACCAAGAAGGCCCTCTCTCTCGTCCCCACCAACCGTACTTGTGACGATGGTGGGAGCGAAAGGAGGTGTTGCAACCCAGAGCAGGAAACGAGACCATAAGATAACAATCCACCACACTTGACTGTGGGGAAAAACAATCCCTTTTTATTGATGAAAAATGGTTACAAAATAGAGGAAAATGCAAAGTCAAAAAGCCACTGTAAAATTCAGCAGTCAGAATATCCATGAACATCCAAAAGCAACACTGTAAAAACCTGGAACCTGTTAGCAATCCACTAACCGTACTTGGAGCACTAGAAGCCTCTTGGGATGTAGGCCACGGGAAACAGGGAAATCTGCCAAGGTAATGCCTCAGTCTAAACGATGCCTGATCTAACGAGACAACCCGGCGAAACTTCCAGGCTGTCTTCAAGGGCAGCCCCACATAGAGCGCATTGCAGTAGTCCAGTCTGGATGTAACCAAGGCGTGGACCACGCTGGCCAAGTCAGACTTCCCAAGATATGGTCGCAGCTGGTGCACGAGTTTGAGTTGTGCCACCGCCGACACCTGAGCCTCAAGCAACAGCGTCGAGTCCAGGAGAACCCCTAAGTTCCTTTGTCCAAGAATCCTTGGAGTTGGGAGGCAACCACCTGCTCTAGAACCTCGCCCAAGAAAGGGAGGTTAGAAATTGGCCAGTAGTTATTTAGGACCGAGGAATCTTTTGCTTTCTGTTTGTTTGTTTACTGTGCCTCCTCTTCCTCCCGTAGACTGATTTCCGGTTCTACTGGCTCCATTCCAAAATGCAAGAGGAAGAGGGTCTGGCAGAGAAGAGTCGGCTCAATCCCGTAAGTCACCCCGCTTGATATCCAAAGCAGAAATGGGGCAAATCAGCACGTATTTCCAGCTTTGGAACCCATTAATGCCCAGCTTAGGGGTTCCATAATGATAAACATAGGAAATATCCATTGTTGGGATGCATTAAAAAAATCCATAAGGATGTGGGAGCACTACAACTCCCATCGTTTGTCATTGCCACCAAAGTGCACCATATATTTAAAGTTGATCACGACAAGTATGTGTGCCACAATCAGTCCAAATCCATTATCTGTGTAGTTTGAATGTTGGTGAACTACAACTCCCACTATCCAGCTGCAACCCCCCCCCAAATAATAATAATAATAATAATAAATTTTAATTATACCCCGCCACCAGTATTTAAAGCTGGTCACGACAAGCCGGTCAGTCCAAATCCATTATCTGTGTAGTTTGTATGTTGGTGAACTACAACTCCCACTATCCAGCTGCAACCCCCCCCCCCAAAATAATAATAATAATAATAATAATAATAATAATAATAAATTTTAATTATACCCCGCCACCAGTATTTAAAGCTGGTCACGACAAGCCGGTCAGTCCAAATCCATTATCTGTGTAGTTTGTATGTTGGTGAACTACAACTCCCACTATCCAGCTGCAACCCCCCCCCCCAAATAATAATAATAATAAATTTTAATTATACCCCGCCACCAGTATTTAAAGCCGGTCACGACAAGCCGGTCAGTCCAAATCCATTATCTGTGTAGTTTGTATGTTGGTGAACTACAACTCCCACTATCCAGCTGCAACCCCCCCCCCCAAATAATAATAATAATAAATTTTAATTATACCCCGCCACCAGTATTTAAAGCCGATCACAAGTATGTGTGCCACAATTAGTCCAGATCCATTATCTGTGTAGTTTGAATGTTGGTGAACTACAACTCCCACTATCCAGCTGCAACCTGCCCCCCCACAAATAATAATAATAATAATAATAATAATAATAATAATAATAATAAATTTTAATTATACCCCGCCACCAGTATTTAAAGCCGATCACAAGTATGTGTGCCACAATTAGTCCAGATCCATTATCTGTGTAGTTTGAATGTTGGTGAACTACAACTCCCACTATCCAGCTGCAACCCCCCCCAATAATAATAATAATAATAATAAATTTTAATTATACCCCGCCACCAGTATTTAAAGCCGATCACAAGTATGTGTGCCACAATTAGTCCAGATCCATTATCTGTGTAGTTTGAATGTTGGTGAACTACAACTCCCACTATCCAGCTGCAACCCCCCCCAGAAATAATAATAATAATAATAATAATAATAATAATAATAATAATAATAAATTTTAATTATACCCCGCCACCAGTATTTAAAGCCGATCACAAGTATGTGTGCCACAATTAGTCCAGATCCATTATCTGTGTAGTTTGAATGTTGGTGAACTACAACTCCCACTATCCAGCTGCAACCCCCCCCAATAATAATAATAATAATAATAATAAATTTTAATTATACCCCGCCACCAGTATTTAAAGCCAATCACAAGTATGTGTGCCACAATTAGTCCAGATCCATTATCTGTGTAGTTTGAATGTTGGTGAACTACAACTCCCACTATCCAGCTGCAACCCCCCCCCCCATAATAATAATAATAATAATAATAAATTTTAATTATACCCCGCCACCAGTATTTAAAGCCAATCACAAGTATGTGTGCCACAATTAGTCCAGATCCATTATCTGTGTAGTTTGAATGTTGGTGAACTACAACTCCCACTATCCAGCTGCAACCCCCCCCCACTAATAATAATAATAATAATAATAATAATAATAATAATAATAATAATATTTAATTATACCGCACCACCATCTCCCCCAACGGGGACTCAGAGTGGCTTACATGGGGCCAAGCTCGAACAACAATACAAAAAATACAAATTGCAGTGAAATAAACAACATAACAATAAAGTATAAAACATCAAAGCATATAAACAATATACACAAAACATAATGACAGAGAGCAGGCCGCATGTACATAAAATGATTAGTATAGGAAAGCCTTGCAGCTTCAAAGCCTGACTGCTTCCTGCCTGGGGAATCCTTTGTTGGGAAGTGTTAGCTGACCCTGATTGTTTCTTAACTGGAATTCCTCTGGAATTATGACAGTAAATAAGGAAAAACACTCTGAAAACAGTGGAATTCCAGACAGGAAACAGTCAGGGTCAGCTAATACCTCCCAACAAAGGATTCCCCCAGACAGGAAGCAGTCAGGCTTTGAAGCTGCAAGGCTATTCAATGCTAATCAAGGTGGTCAGCACCTTAATTATCATTGAATAGCCTTGTAGCTTCAAAGCCTGGCTGCTTCCTGCAATAAATAAAGAACAACATTCAGTAAGCAGGGGAATTCCAGACAGGAAACAATCAGGTTCAGCTAATATCTCCCAACAAAGGATTCCTCCAGGCAGGAAGCAGCCCGGCTTTGAAACTGCAAGGCTATTCAACGCTAATCAAGGTGGTCAATATCTTACTTGTCACTGAATAGCCTTGTAGCTTCAAAGCCTGGCTGCTTCCTGCAATAAATAAAGAACAACACTCTTAAAACAGTGGAATTCCAGACAGGAAACAATCAGGGTCAGCTAATACTTCCCAACAAAGGATTCTGCCAGACAGGAAGCAGCCAGGCTTTGAAGCTGCAAGGCTATTCAGTGCTAGTCAAGGGGGTTACCATCTTTATTGGCATTGAATAGCCTTGTAGCTTCAAAGCCTGGCTGCTTCCTGCAATTAATAAAGAGTAACACTCAGTAAACAGGGGAATTCCAGACAGAAAACAGTCAGGGTCAGCTAATACCTCCCAACAAAGGATTCCACCAGACAGGAAGCAGCCAGGCTTTGAAGCTGCAAGACTATTTTGCTTCTTGGCAAGGGGTTGGACTGGATGGCCCTTGAGGTCTCTTCCAACTCTATGATTCTATTCAATGCTAATCAAGGTGGTCACCGCCTTAATTATCTTTGAAAAGCCTTGTAGCTTCAAAGCCTGGCTGTTTCTTGCAATTAATAAAGAACAACATTCAGTAAGCAGGGGAATTCCAGACAGGAAACAGTCAGGGTCAGGTAATACCTCCCAAAAAAGGATTCCCCCAGGCTTTGAAGCTGCAAGGCTGGCTATTCAGTGCTAATCAAGGTGGTCACCGCCTTAATTGGCATTAAATAGCCTCGTAGCTTCAAAGCCTGGCTGCTTCCTGCAATAAATAAAGAACAACACTCAGTAAACAGGGGAATTCCAGACAGGAAACAATCAGGGCCAGCCAGCACCTCCCAACAAAGGATTCCCCCAGACAGGAAGCAGCCAGTCTTTGAAACTGCAAAGCTATTCAATGCTAATCAAGGTGATTAATTGTTGTGTTTCAAATAATATTAATAATAATAATAATGTAATAATATTGTAATAATAATCTCTCTAAAAAGAGATCCAAAGTGACTGAGAACACTAAAAAGAATGCAATATACTGTTATTGTTGCTATTTCTCAGCATACTTTCATTATGCATGTCATGGGGTTGGACTAGATGCCCTCAGTGTCTCTTCCAGTGGAGTCAGGGATCCCAGGCACGCAACCTGTGGCTTTGACCCCCATTTTCCTCTTTCTTTTAACCTTCTTTTAGTTTAAATTTGTGGGCCTGCAGAGTTATTCCTGTGCGCCGGACAGCCTGCGCGACGTTTTGAGCACCGACTTCCCCTTCGAGGTAAGCGGCCGCCTCATTAATAACCACGCTAATATTTTAATTGGATTTTAAAAGTATGATTGCTTTTAAAAAGGATCAAAGGAGAGCAAATATCTATATAAATAAAAATGCAATGTCTCTTTGTGGGATTAACATAACTCAAAATCCACTGGACGCATTGACACGAAATTGGACACTATACCCCCTAACTGACCAATGAGTGACCATCACTCATAAAAAAACCCTAAAACAGCAGAAAGGACTTAAAACTGTTTGTAAATGACAAACAGAAAAAAGGGAAGGAAGGGGAGAAGAAAGAAAGAAAAGAAGAAAGAAGAAGAAAAAAAGAAAAGAAAGAGAAAGGAGGGGGGAAGAAGGAAGAGGAGGAAGAAGAGGGGAAGGAAAGAGGTAGAAAGGGAAGAAGAAAGAGGAGAAGGAGAGAGAAAAAGCAAAGGAAGGAAGGAAAGAGGAAGGAAGGAAGAAAGAGAGAAAGAATAAGGGAAGGAGGAAAGAGGTAGAGAGAAGGAAAAGAAAGGGAAAGAGGAAAGGAAGGAGAGAAGAAAAAGGAAGGAGAAAGAAGAAAGAAGGGAGGAAGGAAGGAGAAGAAGGATGGAAACAAAAAGCAAGGGAAGGAAGGAGAGAGAAGAAGGGAAAGAAAGAAAAAGAAAAGGGGAATGAAGAAGAAAGAGAAGAAAGAAAAAGGAGGAGGGAGGAAGGAAGGAAAAAGGGGAAGGGAAGGAAGGAAAGAGAGAAAGAAGGATGGAAGCAAAGAGTGAAGGAAGGAAGGAAAGAGAAGGAAGAAAGGAGAGAAAGGGAAGAAAAAGAAAAAGGGAGGGAGGGAGGATAGAGGTAGAGAAGGAAAGAAAAGGAAGGAAGGAAAGAGGGAGCGAAGGAAGGAAAGAAGGGGAGAAAGAAGGATGGAAGCAAAGAGTGAAGGAAGGAAGGAAAGAGAGAAGGAAGAAAGGAGAGAAAGGGAAGGAAAAGAAAAGGGGAGGAAGGAAAGAGGTAGAGAAGGAAAGAAAAAAGGGAAGGAAAGAAAAAGGGAGCGAAGGAAGGAAAGAAGGAGAGAAAGAGGGAAGGAAAGAGAAGGAAGGAAAGAGGTAGAGAAGGAAGAAAGGAGAGAAAGAAGAAAATAAAGAAAAAGGGGGAAGGAAGGAAAGAGGTAGAGAAGAAAGGAAAAGAAAAGGGGGGAATGGAGGAAAAAGGTAGAGAAGGAAGGAGAGAAAGAAAGAATAAATGTGAAGGAAGGAAGGAAAGAGGGAGCGAAGGAAGGAGAGAAAGAGGGAGGGAATGTTGGCCACAGTCAAATATAAAGTTCCCGGAATTCCAGCATGACTCTGTGGATAAAATATACATGTATGCATAGCTGGAGGAGTGAGATCCGGGCGCCGTTGCCCATCGAATGTGTTGCCAGGGCAATGGCGTCGCCGGGCAACGGGACACAACGGGTTTCCTGCGCATGGATGGTGACGCAAACAACAGGAGAGAGGCTTCTGCATGCGCGCAAGGCCGGCCCTTCTCCTCGCCAGGAAAGTTTTCAATGGAGGCAAGGTCTCCATCTGAATGGAAGGCACAAAGAATGACTCCTCCCTCGCTTCCTCCTTTCATTCCTCTCTCACGCTCCGCTTTCCTCCCTTCCTCTCTCTCCTCCCTCCCCTCTTCCTTCATCCTTTCCTTCCTTCTTTGCTTCATTCCTCTCTGCCTTACTTCTTTCCTCCTCCATCTTCCTTCCTTCCTTTATCCTCCTTCCTCCCTTCTTTTCTTTCTTTTTCCTCTCTCCAAACGATGGGGGTACCATCACCTCCTCTCTTCTTTCCTACCTCCTTTTCTTCCTCTCACCTTCCTTTCTCCTTTCATTTTTCCTTCCTCTCTCTCCCCTTCATTCCTTCCTCCTTCCCTTCCTCCCTCTTTCATTCCTTTCTTTTATTTTTCCTTCCTTCCTTCTTCCTTCTCTTCTTTCTTGCCATCCCCTCTCCTTCTTTTCTTCCTTCCTTCTTTCTTTCCTCCCACGACTTTTTCCTCCCATCCTCTTTTTTTCCTTACTTCTTTCCTGCCTCCTTTTCTTCCTCTCTTCTTTTCTCCTTTCATTTTTCCTTCCTCTTTCTCCCCTCCCTCCCTTTCTCATTCTTTCCTCCTTTCCTTCCTCTTTTGCTCCTTTCTTTCCTTTTTCCTTCCTTCCTTCCCTCCCTTCTCCTTCTCTTCTTTCTTCTCCTCTTCTTTTCTTCCTTCTTTCTTTCCTCTCTCCCACTCTTTTTTTCCTTCCATCCTCTCTCTTTCCTTCCTTCTTTTATATCTCCTTTTCTTCCTTTCTCCTTTCATTTTTCCTTCCTCTCTCCCCTCCTTCAATTTCTCATACCTTCCTCCTTTCCTCCCTCCCTCTTTTGCTCCTTTCCCTTCCTTTCTTCCTTTCTTATTTCCTCCCATCTTCCTCTTTCCTCCCTTCTTTCCTTCCTCCCTCCTCTCCCTCTCCTTCCTCCTTTCCTTCCCTCTCCCCTCCCTCCTTCCTTTCCCTCTCTCCTTTCTTTCTTTCCTTTTTCCTTCCTTTTTCTCTTTTTTTTCTCCCTCCTTCTCTCCTTCCTTCCTTCCTAACTCCAATATTGTCAACCCAGATGAGTCCCCATTCCTTTGCAGGGTTGTTGTCATTACTCTAATATGTATTTATACCCCGCTTTTCTTAATTAAGGCCCAAAGTGAGTTTGGAGCAAAACTCTGGTATTTCGTGGGGATCTCCCATTCCAGGTCCGTAGAGAGATCTTTTGCAAGACGATTTTGGACCTTGACTTGCTCGGAGAAGAAAGGCTGATGCACTGCTGGCAGTTTCACGGTCCAGACTCCCAGCTTGGAGGCAGACAGTCACTCGGAGTGGCGTCAGGAGCATGACTCAGTTTGCAAAGAGGCAGGCGGATGCATTCAATTAAAAGACAATCCCTGGAGAAAAGGGAGGCACTGGCACTACAGAACGTTGCTTCCATTTCCCAGCTTTTGTAGACGCAATTCCTCTTTTTCTTTCCCCGAAGGATGTGGGTTTATCATCCATGAAGGCCTACCTATCTCTACTCTAAAAATGAAAATATGCATGTAGATAATGTACTAGTTGACCCATCACACATTGCTGCAGCCAACCTTCCCTTCCTCTTCCTCTCCTTCTTCCCTCCCTCCTCTTTCCTTCCTTCTTCCTTTTTTCTCTCCTTCCTTCCCTTCCTCTTCCCTTCTCCTTTCTTCCCCTTTTTCTTTCCTTCCCCTTTCTCTCCTTCCTTCCTTCCTTTCTACCTTTCTTTCCTTCCTCCTTCTTCTTTCTCCTCTTCTCTCCTTCTTCCTTCTCTACCTCTTTCCTTCTTTCCTTCCTCGCTTTTTGCTTCCATCCCTTCTCTCTTTCCCTCTCCCTCTTCTTTCCTTTTCTTCCTTCCCTCTTCTTCCTTCTTCCCTTCTTCTCTCTTTCCTTCTTCCTTTTCCTTCTTCCTTTCTTTCCTTCTCTACCTCTTTCTTTCCTTCCCTTTTTTTCCTTCCTCTTTCTCTCCTTTCTTCCTTTCTCTTCTCCTTTTTCCTTCCTTCCTTAGCTCTTTGCTTCCATCCTTCCTTCTCTCTTTCCTTCTCTCCCTCTTTCTTTCCTTTCTTTCTTCTCTAACTCTTCCTTTCTTTTCTTCATTCCTTAGCTATTTGTTTCCATCTTCCTTCTCTCCATCTTTCTCTCCTTTCTTCCTTCTCTACCTCTTTTTTTCTTTCCTTCCTTACTTTTTTCTTTCTCTCCTTTCTTCCTTCTCTACCTCTTTCTTTCCTTCCTTCCTTCGCTCTTTGCTTCCATCATTCCTTCTCTCTTTCCTTCTTTGCTTTTCTCCTTTTTTCTCTGGTGGCGGATGAGGCTTAGAGCTAAGAAGGAAGAAAGGAGAAAGGAAGAAAGGAGAAGGAAGTAAAAAGCTAAGTAAGAAGGAAAGAAAGAAGGAGGTAGAGAAGGAAGAAAGGAGAGAAAGAGGGAGGGAAGGATGGAACCAAACAGCAATAGAAGAAAGGAAAGAAAGACAGAGGTAGAGAAAGAAGAAAGGAGAGAAAGAGGGGAGAAGGAAGGATGGAAGCAAAGAGCGAAGGAAGGAAGGAAATATAGAAGGAAGGAAGGAGAGAAGGAAGAAAGGAGAGAAGGAAGAAAGAGAAGGATGGAAGCAAAGAGCTAAGGAAGGAAGGAAGGAAGGAAAGAGGTAGAGAGGAAGGAAGGAAGGAAGGAAGGAAGGAAGGAAGGAAGGAGGTAGAGAAGGAAGAAAGGAGAGAAAGAGGGAGGGAAGGATGGAACCAAACAGCAATAGAAGAAAGGAAAGAAAGAAAGAGGTAGAGAAAGAAGAAAGGAGAGAAAGAGGGGAGAAGGAAGGATGGAAGCAAAGAGCGAAGGAAGGAAGGAAATATAGAAGGAAGAAAGGAGAGAAGGAAGAAAGGAGAGAAGGATGGAAGCAAAGAGCTAAGGAAGGAAGGAAGGAAGGAAAGAGGTAGAGAAGGAAGAAAGGAGAGAAAGAGGGAGGAAAAGAAAAAGGAGGAAGGAAGGGAAGAGGTAGAGAAAGAAGGAAGGAGAGAAGGAAGAAAGGAAAGGAAAGAAAGAAAGAAAGAAAGAAAGAAAGAAAGAAAGAAAGAAAGAAAGAGAGAGAGAGAGAAGGAAGGATGGAAGCAAAGAGCGAAGGAAGGAAGGAAGGAAGGAAGGAAGGAAGGAAGGAAGGAAGGAAATATAGAAGGAAGAAAGGAGAGAAGGAAGAAAGGAGAGAAGGATGCAAGCAAAGAGCGAAGGAAGGAAAGAAAGAAAGAAAGGGGTAGAAAAGGAAGAAAGGAGAGAAAGAGGGAGGGAAGGATGGAAGCAAAGAGCAAAGGAAGAAAGGAAGGAAAGGAAGGAAGAAAGAGGTAGAGAAGGAAGAAAGGAGAGAAAGAGGGAGGGAAGGATGGAACCAAACAGCAATAGAAAAAGGAAAGAAAGAAGAAAGGAGAGATAGAGGGGAGAAGGAAGAATGGAAGCTAAGAGCGAAGGAAGGAAGGAAAGCAAGCAAGAA